ATCCATCCCCATCAACCTCCACAACGTCTGGAGCCTCACTAAAAGCAGGGCTCAAAGTTTTGTTTCAAAAATCATTTGGATGCATAAATATATTGGTATTGCATGTATTACGGGGTAATCCCATGGCATAATAATGTTGGGTCAACAAATTACTTTCTTTTATTTTCTTATTTTCTTTTTTGGTATTATAACCATACTGTTATGGAATATGGAATGTCTTTGAAGCTTCATCTGAAGAGTATTAATTCCAAACAAGGTTTAATGCAACTTTGTTAGAAGCAATTCCAAAACATATCAACCACAAAAGGTAAACTTTGCATTATTGATAGCAGACAGAAGGGTGTTTTAACTGGATATATCGCTGTGGCACAAACATTGCCACTTGGAGCCAGAATCTCTTTGGAGTGGCTGGCGATAACATCACTGGACAACATACCGCTGGCCTGTCACACGCCATCCAAAGCAATTGGGTGAAAGTGACTCACTGAAGGAAAATCATGTCCACACAGAAGAACCAATCCTCGGCTTTGCGAGAAAAACCACCATGGGCAGAGAGCGTCGAAGCATCTCATCCTAGGCAGTCACTTTCAACAACATCTGAAAATCTGGATTCTCTACCTCAACCTGATTGTAACTTCCCTTTTAAACTAGAAAACATTACCATTTCTGAGCAGGACATTAAAGATCAACTTCTCTTACTTAATGACAGAAAACCTGGTCCTGACAATATGATACCTAAAATAACAAAAAGATTAACCCCCTCATTAGTACGCCCTCTTACTCTTCTTTTGAAACAGGTACTATACCAACCTCTTGGAAATCAGCTGATGTTAATGCTATTTATAAAGGGAAAGGCTCTGAAAATGATGTATCTAATTATAGGCCAATATCTATCACATCTTGTTTTAGTAAAATTATTGAAAAAGTAGTTTTTAAATATATGCTTAATTACCTAAAAGATTGTGAAGTAATTACTAAGCATCAATCAGGCTTTTTACCAAAAGACTCTACTGTAAATCAATTATTGGAAATATATGAAACTATTATAAGTAATTTGGATAAAAATAATGAAATTAGATTTGTATTTTGTAATGTTAGCAAAGCGTTCGATAGAGTTTGGCATGAAGGCCTAATTTTTAAATCATGCGGTATAAGCGGTAATGTTTTGAATTGGTTTAAAAACTATTTGTCTGATAGGAAGCAAAGGGTACTAACTGAGGGTTTTCATTCAACATTTAAAGATGTTAAAGCTGGTGTCCCTCAAGGCTCAGTTCTCGGTCCATTCTTATTTTTGGTTTATATTAATGACTGCATCACAAGCAAGTTTAAGCTGTTTGCTGATGATACATCAATTTTTGAAGTGATTGAAAATAATTCTGGTGAAATTGCACAGAAATTAACCTATGATTTAAGCAATCTAAATATATGGGCTAACAGATGGGAAATCAAGTCTAATCCTCAGAAAACAGAATCTTTACTTTTCTCAAGAAAAAGGAAACAAATTAATCCTGATATACTGTTTGCAGGTGATTCAGTCAGCTCTGTCAAGATTCATAAACATTTAGGTTTAACTTTTAGTAGTGATGGTAAATGGTCTCACCATATCACTAATATATACAATAAAGCCTACAATAGAATAAATACTTTGAGAATGCTTAAACACAAAGTAGACAGGAAAAGCCTAACAACTATATACACTTCCTTTATCAGACCAATTTTAGAGTTTGGGGATGTCATCTGGGATAATTGTACAAATCAGGAAAAAAACTTATTAGAATCAGTTCAGTTAGAAGCACTTAGGATAATTAGCCAAAAAATTGAAAAAATTCGTGACCGTTAAGTTTGTCAATTAGCAGATTAATTGCGAGGAGTCTGAATCTCGAGAGGGACGTCATGTGATTGATATGATGTTGTGATATATATCTTATCTTTGATTTTGTTCTTCAAAATATGAAACAGAGATAAAGAAAGTTTATAGATGACATTGGATTAAAATAAACATATTTGCATATAAAGTAAGAGGCCTGGAGGGCCCATATCAGTTCTTTAATATACACCATTTTTATAGGCAACGCCCACGTTTAACTACAAGAATAAGGCTATAATAACCTGGCTCAAATGGATGGCTGATTAACAATACAGATTCATTGAATTTACGACTGGCAGGCTGGAGGATTTTAGGATTTGTCTGATGGCTATAATAGCCAAGGTAGTATAACATTGATGCACACATGCCCGACGTTCTTTTCCCTGCAGCGCAAAGACAGTAATATGATATGATAGGATCATCTGAATCAGTTGTTTCAAACTGCATCCAAACATAGTACTTTGTTTGTGACTTGTGGGGTGAATATGAGACATTGCATGCTGGGTGTCACCTTCAACAATATAACCAGGGGACAGTTAGATCTGGTAAATACCACGTGCTAATGTCTCAAGGTACTCAATATTCAACTGAGGAAAGGAAACGTTTGATGATTCTAGTTTTCGCCACTCATTTTTGGCTGTACGAGTCATGTTTGGATCCTCCGCAATCCGCTTCACAAGAGCATTATCTCTTTGCAAAAGAGATACCATGCGAGTTGCAATTTGTATGTCTCTCCGCTCACGCTGGGGGTCTGAAATGTATATGGGCCCTCTGAAAACGTGCAGGCTCGCGGTTACTATACGTACAAGTTTCCTAATGTTTGTAATCAGATGATTTGAAGCGAGTGTATCTTTAAACAATACCCATTTTTTCAATCTTCCGTGGTAAGACTCCACAACCAAACCTACCTTGGTACAGCAACGATCATCGTTAGCTTGTTGGGAATCCAGTTGAGCCTTACCAGGAGGCAGGAAAGATGGCATTTTTGCATCATAGCCCAACTGGGCAAGGAGATCAAGTACATCCCTGAAACCATCGTCTACAATCATATTGTCATTTTCACGTAACCATGATCTTAGAAGATCAAAATTACCTATGATCATTTTTGTAATGCTTGCATCATTGATGCTGCCATAGTATAGTCCTATTGTGTCTAACACGTATCCATCAGGTAACGCAACCCACATGAATTTTAGATAATTGCTTTTCTTTTGTCTCCCATAAGATGCCCTTTGAAACACATAGTGGCTGCTTTTGTTTAGATAAATATATGTTCCAGCCAAGATGAGATTTAGGTTGTCACCATAGAATGTCTTTGTAAAAACTGTATTGTGGGATATGACTTCATCACGAGAAAGATGTCCTGTTCCAAGATATTTTGGCAAAAGTGTTGTGTTCAAAACATCAACTACGTTGTGAAAATATCTGGACAGTGTAGATTCTGACAGTTTTGTCAATGCTGTCATCTGCTTCCATGGAACGTTAGTTTTTAATTTAACCAAAAAAAAAAAAAAAAAAAAACAGAAGAACATCCAGTGAACTGGCAGAGAAAGTAAAACCTGAAAGATCGGATTTGCACAGTTAATGAATTTTCTTCAACTGTTCTAAGGTCCAGCCAGTCCATGCGATACAGTCGGTATCTGATAGATTTGCGAACTGTAGCTTTGGTGCAATTCCATCTTTGCCTATCTTGTGTATTATTTCAAATAAATCATTAATGACTTGGCCAGAAATATCTCCTAGTTTGGCTTGTAGAGGTTCTCGATTACTCAAAGATACCTCAATATTCTGTAAACATATGGAACATTTGCGATGTTGAGATGAAGCATACTTAATATCAGTAATATTAAGGAATTATGGCATTGGAGATATACTTGTGTGATTTTGCAAATTCGCATCAATTGCGTTATTCACTGAACAACTATTGGACTGCGATTCCTAACTACACTCCTCCTCCACCTCAGGATTGGGTCTTTTCCTTGTGTGTAACATCTCTTACAAATATTACTGCCAACTTCTACAATCATCCCATCTTTCTTGAGGACATTTTTCACGATTTTGTGGGGAATTTAGGCTTCTTGATGATTTTCTAGCCTTACCACAATCCTTAAATCAAATCTTGCAACTTGGATTTATGCATACATCTCCCATACCTGCCACAAACTCAATGAAGTAATTCAAGAATTCAGTGGTTCAAATGTTACAAGTATTCAAATGCGATATATAGATAGCAAGGTGTGCGCCTGTAAACACAGAATCATATAATGACTATGACAACCAACGATGATACAATATAATGCATAGAATCTTAAATGAATTTTCTTTTCGTATGAGATATGTTTAAAGGATCTTAAAATTCTCATAGATAATGACCAAGTTCAACAAGTTGAAGATTTTGTCATTTATAGTTGACTGCGGCTAGATATTGATATAAACAGCATTTATAATGGATTGAGGCGAGTGCTGATTTGAAAGAAAATAATTTGTCCGCTGATGAAATTTCAGGCTGAAATATATTCCAACTTTTGATGACAGAGTCTTGAAGGCCATGTAGTGGGAACAAGATGTTTGGGGTTGGTTACAACTTTGCAATGGCATATTTTATATTACATGGTCAGCGCGTCTTTTCTGCGATCGATATTTAAGGTTGCAACTTATAAGATGGTCTAACATGTCACCAACACTTGAGGTTTTATAATGTCGGTTGGTAATATAACGGGCAGCCCTGAACTGATCCATCTCTATCTTGTCAGTGTCTTATATATATTTATGTATATTGATATATACAAAGTACATGGACGAATTCACTGAATTCAAGGTGGACTAAGTTGTTCCATATGAATATGTACAGTAGACTGGACAAAACGAAAGTAGAACTTTTAACTAGAGTTACTCCCCTTCGTATTTAATCAGCCTTGACCTTTAATGTTGACAGAGGACGACGGTGTCCTATCTCTTATCAATATTTGAGTACATTCGAGATATAAAACGGCAGGATATACGTATAACTACACCAGGCTTAGGTAGGTACAGCATCCCACTTCCGTTCTATTGAACAAAACCCCAACACGTGACATGACACCCACAGCAGTTACAAACAGAATCGTACTGCGAGCTTGTCGCTTTTTGGTCCATGTCCAAAATCAAAGGGAGGTAATTCATAATGTATGTACATATTGATGTCTGCATTTTAACAAATCAAGGCATTGTATTATATTTTCACCTCAATGTAATATTATCATTTTTGTTATTGTTAGTCTGTCACAGTATGATGGATTACACTGGAGTTTCTTGGTATATTTAACCATTGCAATGACACGGAAACAATGTAACCACAGGAGTTTCTTGGTATATTTAACCATTGTAATGACACGGAAACAATGTAACCACAATCGGGGTACAGATATGTTTAATGTATACAATGTTGTACGTGTACAATACAAGCACTGTAGTGATGTTTCACCTCTCATTTAAAATGCCTATACATGTTTATTTGAGATCTTGGCATGTTTTTTTTTGTGGGACTCGCTCAGTGTTTTAGAAATAACTATATCTCTCCCTAGAACTTTGGAATGGTGTTCTGCACTCTCCTGCATAAAATCCTACAAAAGTATTGTATACAAAGAGTTATTCCAGTATTGTATAACACTGCATTGCCAATTTATTTTTATTCTGACATTATTTTAACAACTGTGCATGTCATAATTTTTTCTATGTGTAAAGTATCCTCCAACTTTGAGTAATAGTGTCAAACTTTTGATTTCAAAGCCTCCGCTAGGATTGAAACCTGGGACCTCAGACTTGCTAGTCTTGATGCTCAATGAATTGTTTTTAATAGAAATTTTCTCTATGTAAGCTGCATATATTGGGACTAACATTTCACCAGGATTACAACTGTATGGGCCTAATTATGATATAAAGATCTTTAAGAAAATCACTGATGTACGAAATCAACCCACATGTGTCTGCCCCCTGTATCTAAAAAACTTTTAGAAATTTATATACTCCGGGTTAAATGAATATTTGTTTGTACTACATAATCTTACATTTGGCATGTCCTCACAAGCAAATGAAGAAAAAAATCTTAACTGAAAAGAATATCATATATTATCTCATTTTGAGAGTTGTAAGATTTGAAGGTTAATGTGTATACTAAACATCAAAATTGTTGAAGTTTCATTCAGATTTGTAATCGTATTAAATGCACAAGTATTTATCCTTGGCAAAAACAGGCATCATCAAAGTATTTTCTTATTGCTGCTGTTAATTTTAACCTAGGTATAAGTTAGAGGACCATCAGATTAATTGGTTACATTTTTGTGTCTCTGAGTATGATTTATTAGACATGCAAGTGAATGAAATTCCTAATAATTTTTTAGGCCTGCTGAAGGGAGTGGTTCAGTGAGTGCCTACATTCCACCCTCTGAGGAGGAATCGTCTGGTGATGAAGTTGAAGGTACATCTGTCCGAAGACGGCATGTGTGGAATCGAAATGCTCGCTCTGTTGAACCCCCCAGGGATGATGCTATCTACTACCCACAAGATGACACTTTTGGACTTTTTGATCAGGTGAGCTAAATACAGGCTTACGCAATAGGTTGGATGGGAATATCATGGATATCCCACCTCCCATTGGGGACTTTCCCAAAGCGGCATGTTGACGAAGAGTCAAGCATATTTTTTGAAAAGAGGAGGCAAGACTGTCAGACCATGTAAATGCACTAAAAATCATTAAATAAGCCCTCATATGATCTTAGCTTCATGAAGGATGTAAAATCCAGAATAAAACTATACACATAAAGTTCTGACGTTTTATAAATATAATATTATGACTATTTTATATGAACAGGGCAGAGATTATGAACCGTTGAACATCACACATAAATACACAGATGAAGAAAAGAAAACTTTAGGGACATATGACAGTCATGATTACCTCCCTACAAACAGTGAAGTCTACAGGAAGTGGCTGAAACGTCAGGGACCATCAAGGTACATATGCATGATGAATATTCGAAAAATATGAATACTCCTCTTTCATGTTCCTTGAAACCTTTATGTACTGAATTAACTTGTACATTGATGTACTTCTACCTGTACCAGATGATACAAAACATTTCAGTTCCTATTTTTTCTTTTTATTTGTAGACAGCTTTATTATGAATTTATGTACAAAAAATGTCAAAAATATCTTATTTTCATCTTAGTATTTACTGGTACACTTAAATAACAGAGATATCCTTTATAATATATGTATACAGCATTAACTACTCAATATAGCATTCGCTTACTTTCACCATTGTGAAGGTGTTTAAGAATTGTACGTACACTTTTTAACTTCAGCTACAACTTGGGGCGATGGACAATAATGGGTCTCATTGGTTTCTTTGTCGGCGTGATTGGTTTTCTACTGCATGACCTCATAGAGGAGATCGCCAAGATGAAATGGGAAATAGCCCAGAAGTTCATCAAGGTAATATTTATATTAATGATGGAAGACAGTGTATACGTTATAAATGAAATCTACAAGTCCAAATACAACTCCTATAGTCCTAATTGAAATGTAATACGTAGGTTAATCATTCTCCTATATCAAAACATGTTTTTGTCAACATTTTCTAGATCTAAAATCATGAAAAGTTTTTCAGTGGATCTAACATTGAATAAAGAGCAAATTGGGAAGGAATAAGTTCATTTGGTGTTTTTGTTACGCTAGTGCTTGTGACAGTATAGTATTAACTGTTCTCAATCGAAAATCATCTTACCTTCACTCTAAGATTAATATGTCTAGGCATTGGTGAATCTGTATTTAAGAAGAGAACAAATTAATTTGTCATGATCTCAAACAAGACCGTGATTTAGACAAAATTTCTTTCTCTAAGGAAATAGTCAAACTGTAGCTAATAAATATATATCTGTATTGTTTTCCTCAGTGCATGGTTGTTATCTTACAGTGGTGTGTTGTCAGTATAATTATGTTCAAAAAGAAAAAAAATGTTGACATTTTGACATTTATAATAACGCTTTATGAAGTAAGTAAGTCACAAATCATTGGAAGTTCTAGTAAGATTTTTTATAATGAAACAGCATTTAGAACTCAACATAGCATGCAGATGATGATGATGATGATGATGATGATGATGATATTCACTATTGTGGATAATGATTGGTTGTGTTAATGTCATTTTCACTAACACTGTATGTTTGTACATAATCTTTCTAATAGAACATATTTTTGTGTATTTGACAGGATCGAGAGTTTGGTGTAGCAAGTGTATTTGCCATGGGATACAGCCTCATCTTTATACTTTTCAGTGCATTTATTGTTGTAGTAAGTATATGGATAGCATAAGTCTTATGACTGCCTTACTCTGGTGTTGTTTGGCCCAAAATCGCTCCAGTGACGTGGTTGATGGGTTGTAAAACAATACAAAAAAATAAATGGATGAAAAATTAAAAAGAATTTTTTTTTTTAACATCATAAGCTGCTGTGTGTTTAAAATGATTTCAAATGATACAATAGATTTAAAGGAAAATGACATTTTAGCTGAAATTACTAGATATGGTAATCATGCATGCCAACTCTTTCCAGTTTCTCCGTCCAAGTGCTGGTGGCTCCGGCATCCCTGAAGTCACTGGTTTCCTAAATGGTACACAAATACGCCACATATTTAACGTGAAGACTTTACTGGTGAAGTTTTTTTCCTGTGTAGCAGCCGTAGGATGTGGCTTGCCTGTTGGACCAGAGGGACCGATGATTCATATGGGGTAGGTTATCCTGTCTGGTAATTAGGGTTAGGTAACATTTTATGTATTCATAAATCTCTATATGACAAACCGATGCAATAAAAAACTGTTTCAAGCTTTTTATCCCCTGTGAAACATATTTTGGGGGGATATTCATTTGGGTTCCATCCATCCATCTGTCTGTCTGTCTGTGAGAGGAATTTCAGGGCTGTAACTTCAAAACCGTTCAACTGAACTTCACAAAACTTGCTGTACATATTAAGTTAGTGCCTTTTATGGTATTGTGCTACCATACAAACACAAAATTAGTGTTTCTGTGCTACAACTGTGAAACCATTCCTCTCAACTCCACAAAACTTTCTGTATATATATATATATATACAATGTTGAAGTTCAGGAGATGCAAGGAAATTTAATTGATAATTGACAAAAGAAGATGTTACATTTTTCTCTAGTTTGCAATGTATTAGATCTTTAGGTGTAATAGTGATACAAAATTTAGTGATGTCACCAATTGTTATACCGGTATATATATATATATATATCATATTTAGGTTTTACATCAACAGCTGGGAGCAGGGGATAATGTCACACATGTTTAGGTTTTCAATTTGAAATTTCTAATGTCTAAAGTCTCCTGACAGACATGTTTGTGTTTTGCATCTATATCAAAGTGAATTGTTTCCACTAAAGTTACAAAATGTACTAACCATCATTATTTTTCTTGTTGTGTAAATGACACAGTTGTTAAGGTTTACTAAAGGATCTATCATGGTTTTTGTTACCTGTATGTGTTCCAGTTTGATTTATCAAACAGTTAAGTGCTAACATATATATTCTGTGACAAAATTTCATTTGAGAGTTTTTTAGCAGAATGTCAGCCAGAGTTACATTAAGGCAGAATTACCTCCCTTGTTAGATATATGTTATTGTGATATCTCTTAAGCTATGTGCCAGAATTCAAATAAAGACTGTACCTGCAGGCAGAAAGTCGAGTACTTTGTAGCACACAAATTCCCCACCTTTTGTGAAAAAAACAAACAACAGCAAAAACAATTACATAGCAGTCTTGATATACTCCTTTTATTTTTTATTCAAATCCTCACATGGAAATCTTGTCGGGCACAGTCTGCTCTCATGCTGACAACATTGGACATTATATCTATTTTGTTTATGTACCAGGGCTTTGGTAGGAGCAGGGTTGAGCCAGTTTAGATCAGAAACTTTGAAGATCAACCTCCCATTCTTTCAGCGATACAGAACATCTGAGGACAGGTAAAGAAACTGGAGAATTGTTTTGAATATAATCTTATGGTATAATCTTATAAAAAATATGTCTGTAATGATATTATTATGCATATTGAGCTGAAAAAGTAGATGTTAAATGAAATATGTTTTAGGGTATTTTATATTAAATGATGATAGGTATTGTTTGATTTTTATCAATAGAATGAGTATAAGGATATACCAAGCAGATAGGCAGAACAATATTAACAAAGTGTTATACAGCTTCAGCATGACATCAACAAGATACATAACTTTTCAATATATGTCAACAATAAAAAAGATAGAAAATAAACAACTGAAGCATATCACATGTATCTGAAATTTGATTTTACTAGTGTTGTTAACCAGGAAAAAAAAATGAACGTTAAAAATTGGTAAAACAAATTGCTCTAGTTCGTAAAACAATGCGTAGAATTAATTATAAAAAGCTAAAACTACAAAACATTTCTATAAAATGTGAAATCAAAACTTCTTTTCTTTTGTAGGAGAAACTTTATATCTGCGGGGGCCGCAGCAGGGGTGGCCTCAGCTTTTGGTGCCCCTGTAGGAGGCCTCCTTTTCTCTATGGAAGAGGTGTCTTCGTTTTGGACCATCACTCTGTCATGGCAGATCTTTTTCTGTTGTATGGTGTCTGCCTTCACCACCGATCTCTTTAACTCGGCCTTCGATGGATTCTCTTATACAGGAAACTTTGGACAGTTTAAAACACAGAGATACATCCTCTTTAACGTAAGTTATACTTGATGGTTGAAAAGAGAATTATTGCATATATAGCTGTATTGATTTTTATTTACTTTAATTTTTTTCATTTATAAACATTGTTTTGAGGGATCATTGTTAGGCGAAGAAGTGCTTGAACTCAGTGAGTATTAGGTACCCCTCATCTTTCAGTGTTATAAGTTGACATGAATAAACAAATTTTAATATCTGGTAAGTGTATAAATTAATCAGTAATTGTTCAGTGAAATCTTTAAAATTTGACATCCTCTAGTGCACACCATGTTGATGCCCTTGACCTGGTTAATCTGACCTCTGGTACACTGTAAATTATATTTGAAGCACAGACTTTCTTCATTATCTTACCCAAAATATTGGTCAGATTGACCTGTCCATTCTGACCACTTGTGGTAACAACATATTGGTCAGAATAGACAGGATGTCAGAGTACAAAAGATTTGTTGTTCATTAAGAATTTGATTACAACATGTTAGATTACAGCAGGTTGCCACAGAACTGAAAAGTCAGATTGAAATAGATTTATAGTGTAAAGAAAGATTTTTCTTCAGTCAATACCAGAGAACAGAACTTTGTGGCTAAAGATCTGATTCAACATTACAAAGATTAATGTCTTTTCTTTTACAGATTGAAAAGGGTATAGATGTTAACATTCTGATGTTTATACCAACGGTTATAATAGGAGTGATCGGAGGCCTACTTGGCGCTATCTTCACCATCCTCAATCTTAAGATGACCAGGGGCAGGAAAAAATTACTGTCCACAATCTCTGAACACACCATACTACAGAAACTCATTCGGATCTTTGAACCAGCCTTAATTATGGTATTTCATAACGTTAAATATATAAACAGCTCAAAGAAAATATCATCAGTCAGTGACTTTCTTTAGGGAAATGATGGAACTTTATACTTTATACAAAGGTCAGTTATAATAATACATAGGATGAGTTCCTGTTTTAGGGTTCCTAGGTCAAGTTCACAGTTACTATTTATAGAAATTTGTCAAGCATTAATTCTACATGTCATTGGTAGGAAGTGGGGCCATTCATGTATTGTAGACAATTTCTAAGTTAGTTTGCCTGTGACTTGAATTGATCACAATTCTTGTTTCATTAAACAAACCATTGGAAATTCCATCACCTGTTGTTTTCTGTAATTCTCAGTAGTGATAGATATTACTTATAGTGTATTTGTGTGTTGTAGATCATTATCACACTGTTGGCAGTGTTTTTACCTGCTGTCTTTCCCTGCAGTCAATATACCTGTAAGGAGGGCATGACAGGTGATGCCAGGTAAAGTCAAGTTTTAAGGATATCCTCAAGGCAACAATCATGTTAATCTGTGAAAAAAAAATTTAACAGATCCTTCTCTTCTCATGAAAATGTAAATAACATTTTCTGCATTTTTCTATTTTTCAGCAAATTGATGAGTATATTTCTATATGGAATCTCAAAAAGGTTGCCAAAACAATATTATAGATAGGAATTAAACATTCATTACAGTAGATTTATTGATTGTGTTTAGTGTCAACTGTCTGAACGACACAAGGAACCCCCTCCATGTAGAGAGTTCGGTGGTTAAGTACACATGTTACGAGGGTCAAGTATGGAAAGATGACAAGTACACCTGGAAAACCAACGGCACCTACAATGAAAGTGAGTGTGGCTTCTATTTCTTCTTTTGGCTCTGTTTACTTTCATAGGAAATGACATTAAGATTGCTCAGTTACACCTTTTTTACTTCCACCATAATTTTCTGCAACTAGCAACATAAAATTGGTGTTATTGTTGAAAGCTAAGCTCCTGAAATTCTTACTGTTAAAAATATTATGTCAGTGATTTGTGATGTCATGATGTGTTGAGATATTTCTGAAGACACCTTTAATAACAGATGTACTTTCTATTGTCGACTCCTCAATTCAAACTTTGACTTGTGTTTAGATAAACACATTTCTTAGAAGAAGACACCATAAAATATTATTCTTCAAAAGGCTTCATTGTTACAGTTGTCTTAAATCGTTCTTAAAACTACATAATTTATGGGTAGATAGGATTTATGGGTTGACACTTATATTCAAACCTCAAATTTTTCATTATACAGTGTATAGCAGACATTATTAGTTTAATTTTTCATAATTTCAGTGGCTACATTAATGTTTGGTACACTAGAAAATGCAGTAAAACACTTATTTTCCCGAGACACACATCTCCAGTTTGGATTTGCCTCTCTTCTTTCCACTCTGGTGATCTACTTCATTATGATATGCTGGGCCACAGGAACTTCTGTGTCCTGTGGAGCTCTAGTTCCCATGCTGTAAGTATTCAGTGGATTCATCCACTAAAATCCTTAAACATGATTTATCTGGTGTGCCTTTACAAGTCTACAGCCACATAATGAGAAAGAATGTTTTCAAATCTGTTGTGTTGTGATGTTTGCTCTGTTTTCTGCAAGCATCAAGTAAATAACCACAAGGTGGTGATCACTCAAGACAAGAAAGTGGAATGTTCAATTTTCATTGATGCATTCAAAAGAAGACAAAATCGAGAGAAAGAACAAGATGTCTTTATGAAACACCATGTTCCTGGTTGCAACAAAATTCTAAAGTAGGACGTTACAACTTTACTGTGTAAGGCATATGCTAATTGCATGCACACTTTGTGAGACACTTATGTCTTCATTGTGGTAATGATTTGTTTCTTTCAAGTGTAGGTCAAAGGTCATGGTAAGAAATTTTGGTACCACCAGAAAAGTTTTGTCACAAGCAACACATATGTCAAATATGAAAGCCATACCTCTTACAGTTCAATGATTATGGCCAATGTTAAAATTTTTCAAATGTAAGTGAAAGGTCACAGTCAAGGTAAAAAATTTTGAAACCACCTGGAAGATCTTGTCACGAGGATCACTCCTGCTAAATTTGAAAGCTCTACCTCTTATGGTGAAACAGTGGGGGCAAGGTTAAAGTTGATGAAAATAACAGACTTTCCAAATTAGGAACCTATTGGATATTGGCAAAGATCCTATACTTCACAATGTTGCTATCCAGAAATTGCAAATGTACAACTTCAAAATAAAAGTAAATACCTTATCAAGGAAAGACAAAACAGAAGTCCTCAATACACATGTCTAAAAATTGTTTTGTTTTTTTTCTCTAAAATAAAAGGAAAACTTAACGATAATGAGGTTTTCTATTACTAGCAAGGTCTTTAACGTCTATTACAGGTTAGTTGGCGGGCTGTATGGCCGTGTCATTGGAATACTCATGACGACCATGTTCGGAGTTCACAGTGGAGAGGACCTTTCCTACTGGGCGTGGATGGATCCTGGTGTTTTCTCTCTGATTGGAGCAGCCTCATTCTTTGGTGGAGTGACCAGGTTAAATCTTGCCGTTACTGTGATTATGGTATGGAATACATGGACTGATCAGCCCTTTATCATGGTTTATATTGTGTATCCTAATTTCTTCTTGGGGCAAAGAGTGTTACTACCTGACTCGGAGTAAAAAGTTTCACACATTTATATGACTTCCTCTGTAACCCTACGCAGATATCACAAAATGTTAAAACTTTTGCAAAATATACACCAAGAAGCATCTTGATCTGTAGCTCATTAGAGAAGTTGCCTACTTTAAAGATCAGAAGGCTTTCCTGCTTATGACCAAAATTTGTGTTAATTTGTGATAAATGGAATGAAATTTGTGGGTAATTTTCCTTTTCTGTGTAACACTTTGCTGATGTTGTATATTGGCAAGCACTCTTAAAGAATAGCAAACAAATTGTAACTCTTTCTCAATGGAGGTGTAAAAGATCACTGGGACTCTCTATCTTAAACTGTTCAGAACTTGCAGCGAGTCTTTACAGGTTAGCGTTCTGTGCAAATTCAAACATGTTCTCCCATGAATTATAGATTATTTCATTAGTTAACTGTCTGCCACCAGATGGAACTAACCAATGACGTACAAGTACTTTTGCCAGTCATGGTATCAGTGATGATCTCAAAATGGGTCGGTGACTTCTTTACACATCCTGTGTATCATGCCTTGATGGAACTAAAGTGCATCCCATTCCTGGACCCAGAACCTCGTGTCACCATCGACAAGAACCGGTAAGACATTTCTAGATCTAGATGAAGCCTTAATTCGTCATTAAGTAGAATTGATATGATTATCCTAGACCCACATTAGACATGTACCACCATGGTTAAGAACTTTTAAGTTGTTCTTTGACTTCAAACCTTGTGTGGCATTGATCAACAAAACCTTGTCACTTGTTTCAAATTGTCTACATTTTCCTGGAAAAACAGAAAAGTACATGAAAATAAATAAAAACAGAATTCTGTATAAATAGTGTTACAATTTGAAGAGTTTTACAAGTTTAAAACACTGATTTTCAGGATTTGATGTGTATGCAGTATGATATGATTACATGACCAAAGAATATGTGCCCTGTATCATTTTCAGATAAAACATATATACAATTTTGCTGCTACATTAAAGAAGATGAAGGAATGAAATCAATATACCATTCTTATACTATTTGGCACTTAGCTTCTGCCCAACCATCCCTCTGTACATTCATCTGCAACTTTAAGTTAAATCTTTGCATTTTGATCGTTTTCTGTACATGTGTTTCTAATCAAGGTCAGATAATGACATGTAAGGGAGGAAATGTGACAGTGTAGTAGTGGAAATATGTGACATCAAGGTGTCAGTGGTAAATGTGTGAGGCTTTCTCATGACAATACATATCTTCATTTGGTTAACTACTTTAGGATCAATCTAGAGCTTTACCTGGCTCGTCATGTCATGTCATCACCAGTGACTAGTATCCACACCAAAGACTGTGTACACGACCTTGCCAAGCTCCTTTTAGATACAAGTCATGGAGGATTCCCAGTCGTCAAAGTGCTTGAAAGAACCGGAGATGAAGTGTTTTGCGGGATGATAACCAGGTAAGATAAGATAACAAAAGACACTCTCCATTAAATACTGTATGTTTTATTGAAAGATTGATGTGCGAGGATAATTGGCATAGTCCATCGTTGGTCAAACAGGCAGGAAATCTTTTATCAATGCATGTTGAAGTGTCAGTTAGTCTAACAACAGGATTTTCTCACATGCTTTGGTTGTTTCTCTTACTTAGGACTCTTCATAATTCCACAACACAATGACAAAGTTTATAAAATCTTGGTAATATGTTATGAATATATCACCTGCATTTGTTTGGTTTTGCCTTATCATACTTCACACAACCAAGTGAGGGAATATATTCTGGAATCCCCCTGTCTCTCTCTCTGTCTGTTGTCTACAAATTTATCCAGACAACCTGTCTGAAATCTGTCAACTGATTTAAACAAAACCATACAGAAATATAAGGAACTATTTGTAGGTGTGCATGCACCTTTTCCAGTCGTAGGTGTGTATGGATGGGGAGGGGAATTATGGTTGCTATGGTAACCTGTTCACTATATTCACTATTGATGTTTTCATATAAAGGGCTATAAGTCCTGAGCCCTTTCGTTAAAGTAAAATATTTACAATTTTATCTATGTTTATCCTATTTTTAGGTTAGAGTTGTCTGTCCTTCTTACACATGAGGAACTGTTTGAGTCTGATGGATCACAAGATGACTCCGGTGACTCAGGAAATGGGGAACAAGACCCGACATGGATAGAATATGAACAGGTACATCCATGATCAATTCTAGATGTGTGTCATTTGACAGCCATATTTCCTGCATAAAATTTTAAATGTTCTGCTGCTTTGTATAATGTTTTAAGGGGTAAAATCTCTTTGTCCACCACAAATTCATGATAATTTCAAGCATTGATACAGTTGCCTTTATTCTGAGGATGTTAATTTACTTATGGTCAACTGAAAAACTTGGAGATATTTTGATGTACATGTGATGTATTGTGAATACTATCCAAGAAAAATAAAATTTTAAGCTGTTGAGGTTAAACTTTTTTCAAAATTGTTTTATCCTTAATATTGTCAGCAATAATGTTTTCTTTCATATTGCTATCTAGTATAATCTTTCCTCAAACAAATTTGACTATCATCTTATATTTAACTAGTATTTCCAAAAATTGTTTGATTTTTAAAGGAAAATGATCTTTTAAAAGATGCATTCTAGAGCAATACCTATCACTAAACACTGAGAAGTATGGTACAAGTAATTTTCCATCTACATTTGATGATATTGCAATAATTCTTTTTTCTTTTACAGATTAACATTTTGAAACTGAAAAATCCCAAAGAAATCAGTCACACCTTACAGAAGTATGTGAAGAATCCAGCTTATAAAACAAGATTTTTGAATTTGGTAAGGTTTTTTTTTATCATTGATTTTTTTCTTTTTGTGCATTTTTTAATTATTTTTTCAATTATTTAAATGTTAATTTAATGTAAATATACTGCATTGATTATCCTCACAAAAAACAAAAAATAGCATGTCTTTCAACCTTGACTGTTTGCCCTTTTGTGTTTAGAATAGAATGTCTCTCTGGTTTGGAGACACATTAACCTATTTAGCCCAGAATAATTCCCAGTCTGGTAATGAGCCTACCCATGTATAATCACTATTCACAAAGATTATATAACCCAGATTTGTAGTATTACCTCATAATAAACACACATATGAGAAGTAATGTGTTGGGATTATTACTAAATAATCCTGGTATTTTTTATATCAATAACAATAATTGCAAAGCATAGCACTAACAATGTCCTGAAGCTATGTCCTGAAGCTGATCCCAGTGGTAACTTGATTTACTACTTAACTAGATGGTTCCTTTTATCATAACTTGATTTAATATTTGAATTACCATAACTTGATGGTTCCCTTTTTCATAACTTGATGTTAACCTTTAATTTATCTTAACTAGATGGTTCCTTTTATCATAACTTGATTTAATATTTGAATTACCTTAACTTGATGGTTCCCTTTTTCATAACTTGATGTTAACCTTTAATTTATCTTAACTAGATGGTTCCTTTTATCATAACTTGATTTAATATTTGAATTACCATAACTTGATGGTTCCCTTTTTCATAACTTGATGTTAACCTTTAATTTATCTTAACTAGATGGTTCCTTTTATCATAACTTGATTTAATATTTGAATTACCTTAACTTGATGGTTCCCTTTTTCATAACTTGATGTTAACCTATAATTTATCTTAACTAGATGGTTCCTTTTATCATAACTTGATTTAATATTTGAATTACCTTAACTTGATGGTTCCCTTTTTCATAACTTGATGTTAACCTTTAATTTATCTTAACTAGATGGTTCCTTTTATCATAACTTGATTTAATATTTGAATTACCTTAACTTGTTGGTTCCCTTTTTCATAACTTGATGTTAACCTTTAATTTATCTTAACTAGATGGTTCCTTTTATCATAACTTGATGTTAACCTTTAATTTATCTTAACCTGATAGTCCACTTGATCATAATTTAATTTTAACATTTACCCTAACTTGATAGCACCTGCTATATATTTAACATACAAAATGATTTTTTGTGTATGATATATAGATCTGATTGTATGTTTGAGTTGTCAAATTATTTGTTTGTAATGTTAACTGTTATACAGAAACAGTACATCAACCAATCGGCATTGTCTATCCCAGAGAAGTTTTCCTTACAAAGGACATACATCATCTTCCGGACCCTCGGACTTCGTCACATGACGGTGGTGGACTCGTCCAATAAAGTACTTGGTATTATCACTAGGAAAGACCTGATGGGATTCAACATTGTGGAGAAAGTGTCGACCCTGCATGATGCAAGGTTAGAAATGCGAAGCATGGCTGCTGCAAACCAAAGTTCAGTCGCATAACAACATTTTTCAAGATAGTTTTATAGGATATTTAAAATATAGATAACAAAACCAAATATGACTGAAATCTCATCATTTTTTAAAGTTTTTCTCTTCTGTTTTGGATTTAAGTACTAATTTTGTGGATGCATTGAATTGTTTGTAAAATCTTTAAAAGAACAGTAATATCTAAAGTTTTGATTTTATGATAGGAAAAATGGTTAACAGATATTACCTGTCATAAAGTTGATTGCCAACAAAATATAGCAATAAAAATATAGAAGTTTCTTAATTCACCATTAACATCATATTACGTATGTATTATGTAAAACTGATTGATTTTGTATCATTTATTTCGCTATCGCTTATGTTCTCAGGTACGTAATACCTCAATAAGAGAAATACCTATTGAGAAGTTTGTGTTATTCTGTCATTTTGTTATTTATCAAACACTATGGTGGATTTATACTTGCGTACCAAGCAATAAATATCAATATAAAAAGTACAGTTTGATACACAAACACCAGTTTAATTCAAACTGAACAGCAAATTTTATCTGTTAAGGTGTTGTCAAGCAATCTTTATCAAACACAAGAAAATAGAAAGAAGAAAATGTCAGGGAAATCTATTGAAGGCTACTGTCTTGATGTGGTTCATGTAGACTGTATAAGGAAGGGAGATAACTCTGTTGGCCTTGAATTTATTAATACTACTCATTCAGTAAATGTTATTTTAAAAAGTCTTTGCGATGGAATTAACCAATGACTTGATTAGTGAAAATAATCTAAAGCATTTTTAAAATTTTGAGATTTTTTTTCAAAGTAATTCATAAAAACTATCCACCATAATATTGACTATATTTAGGAAAGCAGATACCGAGGTTTAATGGGATGGATTTCTATTAAATATTAATCATTTTTAAGTGCCAAGTGCCTCACAGTATTTTGTTGTTTAAGTTTAGATAGAATGCTATGCAAATGTGTTATAAAGATATTGATAAAGTTAAGTAGGCAATTAATGGTTTTCTGTTTAATACCAAACATAAAAAATGTATACCCATTCATGATACTATATCATGTCATGTCATGTCCAAAATATATACGGTTTGATGTATCTATTAATGACATTTTGATAAAACATAACATTGAATCATGGTCTTTAAATACATATCGAAGTCTTTAATGGGATCTGTGTTTTTATTGAACATCTTAAGCTAGTTCGGATTCTTTAAGGTAATGTCAATTTGGTTGTGCAGAAAAATGTAGAAAACTTTGTTGCTGAAATCCTTCATTGTATGATGTCTCTTATTTCTTTGTTAAACTTGTTAGATTATTAATGGAGCAAATGCATCAAAATACATGATTCTTAATACAAATGTATTTATTATTTAAATATGTTATTTTATGTATACTTTTACATAGTTAGATTGACAAGTAAGTATATGTGGTGCATATTTCATATTGATGGACATTTCTGTCTCTTGATTGTGAATTATGACTGAAAGGAGTAATGATTTCCTAATGTTTTAAAGTGTGAAGGGACCAATTGATATCATTTCTTGTAATTACTGTCTGAATACTTGTAGTTAGGTATTTGTGTAGTTTTAGCTATATAAACTTGAAACAATGACTTGACTGATATAGTTCCTTATAAGGAATACAAATGAGACCAAATGAAATAGTCAGTTAGACCTTCATCGTACTATGTGATTCCTTTTATGTATATGAAAGAGGTCATAGGTATGCTTAATTCTCTAAAGATTGGCTGCCATAGTTATCTCACATCTCCCAGCTGGTGCAAACCACAGGTGCCTGACACAAACTTACATTTATTCAATATGTTGTATTTATCTCTCACAATGTATTGCTACACATACAGATATCTAAGTCTGTGGTTTTACAAAACTCTGTTGCTGAAAGCTTGGTTAGAGCTGACCAGTAATTAGTGAAAATATGAACCAAACAAACAATGAGAGCATTCTTTAACATTTCACAACAATAGATTTCTTAAGACAGATCAGAATGATACATTCTGAAGATTAGTTTCTCTTTATTTTTAGTTGTTAAGTCGACAACAATTTAATTATTTCACAAAGCAATTTTTGAACAACTAGGGCCTAATGTTTCTCATCAAATCCGAAATGTTTACAATAAAAAGGAAGAGTGTTGTATCAGTTTTAATACCTATAAATACTCATACGTTTGATCAAATCCATTTTAGTGTCTTCCTATTAATCAACAGTTAGTCATCATTATGAATAAGAAAATGTTTATTATGCTCCCCAAATATTTGAAGGGGAAGTTATAGTTGCCACATTATCTGTCTATCCATATTTTCATCCATGCATTCCCATTCAGAGCAAATTTTTGTCCAGTTAAGAAAGGATTATGAAACCTGTTGTATACATTGATTGTACTAAGACAATGTGCATTGTACCAAACTCAGGGCCCCACAATTACAGGGTTATTGCCCTTCGTTAAAATTTCGGGCCCAGAGCATAATTTTGTATTTAAATGAGGACTGGTATGTATATACGCCAGTCATACAAGGATGATATGCACTGTACCTAATTACAGGCCTAGAACAACTTAATTACAGAGATATTGGCCTTGTTTCTAGATAGCATTCACCAGTTTCACCGATACTCATGTAGTTATGTTGTTGATATTCAGGAAAGAAGTAAAATTGCAGGAAACACTAGCTGCAGCATTTAATATCTAGTTCATTGGATGACTTATTGTTACATCGTTGTTTTTGAGAGTGAGTTTCTTTACCGTTAGTAGATAAAGTGGAGGTCTGTTTCCTATTCAGGGTTATCTCTCAGAGGCAAAGCCAAAAGGCAATACTGTTCAGTGAGTGAAACACATGTTATTTTCCCTATTATGGAGTCATTAAGAAACCACATATAAAGAGGAGATTTAGTACCTCTTTGATTGCTTCTAAATATGTTTAGGGAAACATTAACGTTTCTTCATAAGACTATTGATACTAGTACTGTACTCCACACATCCAATACAGGGTTTATTATAGTTAATTATACAATATTAAGAGGTAGGACATTTTGTCTCCTTGTTGAATACCTGGTACATAAGTATATTACAGAAGTGAAATGTTGTCAATGCTTAATGCATACCCAGCAAAAGGTGTTCAATTTACCTAGACAAGTGGATTCAGTGACTTTTGAAATACATGTAGCTTGGCAAGTAGAACTTTGATAATACAACCAGAATGAAATATGAAAACTGTACACCCAGTCTTCAACATTTATATGTACAGTATGTAATGGCTCATTGCTATTTTGTGAATTTGAAAAAGTTTCTCTCAGAATGAAATCAACGGTATCTTTAAAAGAAGATAGCAGTGTGGGTTTAAAGGTAACAAATGATAAACTTTCTTCTGTACATGTAGATAAAGGATTGTGTCTTACAGAGATGTGCTTCCTGAATTAATATTTCTCATCGCTTTTGTTTTGGAAATGTACAATAACTTTAATGTTTTTATTGTGTGTTTTTGCAGGCGTAGACCGCACATTTGTTCAAGACCAATAAATTAACTAGATGTGCGTACGTATTACAGTGGTTATATACTAATGTGTGGTCCTTGTGAACCTGGTGTTATAGTCAGGCTAGATCATCGGTTGTGAAATGTAACTTTATACATTCCTATACTCACAGATACAGATGTTGGAGAGTTAATGGGTGTTAGGAGGAGGCCCTTTTAAATGTTTACCACACCCTTTTTCAACTTAGTGCATATTTATTACATAATTCTCAGTGGCTAGACCAAATGTTCGTGAATAAAAAAAAATTGCAACTTGAATTTCGTAAAAATTGTAACAGATATTGTACAAATATGCAGTATCAGATTATCAATTATATTGTACACAACTGTTAAACTGTGTATAGTGTCACATTGCTGCTGTAAAGAATTGATTTCCATCAAAAGAAAGATTGAAAACTGGCATCCTCGGATGTTGTATATAGAAAAGATACTCTATAATGAGATTCAAGTTACAACAAATGTATTACAGCTTAACAAGTTGATCTAACACTTACATTTAATGATTTCTCACTGCACCTGATTAATGCTATTTTGTTGATGTACTTTATGTGTGAAAGCTTTGCTGTGATATAACTGCAAGTGTGATGTTTCTACTATTCACTCATTTTATCTTTTTTTTTTTTTACAATAGTTTAACAAAATAATTCTTAATGCAGAGTAACTTGCTTTTAGCTCACCTGGCCTCTAGGACCATGGTAGCTTATGGCATAAATTTGATACATTTTTTCAAATTTGGTCAGAAGCATCCTTGAGGGTTGGGACTCAATTTAATGTGAATGACAAGTCTGACCCCTTGAGACCTGAGGGGAAAGGCAAGGCAAGGGGAAATTTAGCATTTTTTTTTTAATCTCATTTTTCCAGTAGGAATGTCAGGGTTCTGTTCTTTTTTGGCCTGAAGCATTCTGGTGTTATGTAGAATCATTGTATAAAATGTAAGTATCAGCCCCTTAGGGTGGCGGAAGGGAAGGGCCATCTATGGGAAATGAGCAAATTCTTTAAAATCCTTATTCCTTTGTAAGGAATGTCAGGATTCTGTCTCATTTGGTCTGATCTTGCATCCTAGTATGGAAGGGAATCAATTTTGTGTGAATGAAGAGTCTAACCACTTGGGACCATATGGACAGGGTCAAGTAGGTGAAGTAGTGAAGCTGTGAATTATTTCTTCTTAATTCTGTTGTGAATAATGTAAATTTTGACCAATTTTTATCAGAAGCATCATTGTATCAAGAACATTTAATTTTGTATGAATCAAAGGTGTAACTCCTTTTGAGAAAATATTTTCTTGTGATCAAACCTGCAAGATGAGCCATACAGACCCCATGTGCCTCTTGTTTGAAATACTCAACCTTTTGTGTTACAAATGTTTCGTGCTATATCAAATGCCTTGTTTTTAAAGAGTTCTCATAAATCATAAACCATACCGAAGGGAACAAGTGAGAATGTCACGTCAAAGTTCTGGG